GTGCAGCGACACACGCTCGGCAGCTCGTCGGTCGCCGTAATCGCACGCGGCACCATCAGCTTGCGGCCATACACGTTGAGCGTCGCGGGCTGCTCGCTTCGCCCCGCCACAGCATCCTGCACGAGCGCGCTGAACTTGTCCGCCTCGCTGCGCAGGAAGTACGACGTCTGTGCCGGCACCTCCGCCTGAGCAGCGCCTTGATCAACGTCTTGCGCATCGGCGGTGTTGCGGTCGAGCCATTCCTGGCGGTAGAACGGTTGCCTGCGGAAATCGCGGCTGCGACGCATCTCGTGGTTGGGGCATCGCTCCTGGAGGATCTCGAGGAACTGGGTGAGCTGGCCGCGCTGCACGTTGCTGGCGTACAGATCCTTTGGGATGCGGTTGCTGGTGCCAATCACCACGCCTCCGAGCCGCCAGTACGCCTCGAGCGTTCTCCTGAGCAGTCCGGCGCTGGCGACATCGACGAGCTGGATCTCGTCGAACAGCAGAATGTGGCCGTGATTCAGAAAGAGATGCGCGGCAGCATGCAGCGGCAGCGTGGTCTTGACCACATCCCCGTCCGGCCCGGGAATGTACTGGAGCTGCTCGGACCCGTCATCTGCGAGCGAGTCTGGCCTGAAGAACGGCATGCCTCGCAGCGCGCGTCTCCAGGCCGACGCCTTGTTCTGCGCGCGCGGGTCGCGCATCCACACTGCGCCGCCGATCTCGGGCGTAGCCGTGGGCCTGGGCATGCCCTGACTCACGGCAAGCCTGCGACGCTCGGCCTCTTGCCAGATGATCTTGTAGAGGTCGAGGAGCAGATGGTGGTAGTGGCGGCGGAACTTGTACTTTGTCGGCAGCGAGTCGTAGAAGATGTCCATAACCATGCTCTTGCCCGTTCCGGGTGTGCCTGTGATGAGGAGGCCCTTGGGCGTTCCGAGCTCGGCGAGGCCTTCGCTCTCGCTGAGCCACTTGACGAGCTCGCCGATGCTCTCGCTCTTGTTGCGCGATCCGGAGCTGGGGCGTGAGGTTGGCTCGTCCTGGAACTCGCGCGCGCCCGGGCGGAGACGCGCATCGATGGCCGAGGCGAGCGCAGCCGACGAGGCGGACTGCGCATCGTCGTTGAGGATGCCGAGCAGATGCGCGGGCGGAACATAGTCGCGGAGGGTACGATTGATGCGTCGCAGCTCGACGAGCGCGCGAAGCTGTTCCTCGTCCTCTTCGAGCTCGCCGCGCGCCACCTTGGCGCGGTAGATGAGCAGCGGATCGGTCACTTGCAGCGCATTCGGTTCTGGCGTCGCGCCGGCAGGACCGACAAATGATGCAAGCGTACGGCCCGATAGCAAGGGGCCTGGTGGGCGCAGCCTAGATGATTGAGCATTGCGATTGTTGCCGAGGACGCTGGCGGTTGCTCGGTGAGCCAGTATGGGTCTGAGCGTGCTGAGCTGGCGCGGTGCGGATGTGGATCTCGAGCTGCTGAGCACGAGCCTTGACGAGACGGTGACGCGGTGGGTCCGCGCAGCAGAGACGCTCATGATGATGGCGGCATCTATCCCGGCGCTTTCAACGAGGTGCGCGCTCTATGCAGATGAACAGTCCGAGCCGATTGGATCAAGAGGACAGCGAATACCAAGATGGAGGTTCAGGAACGACGCCGAGCGACAGCGTTGGATTTGGCTCAAGCTCAAAGTACAGTAGGTAAGCTTGCAGTCGGTCTGATTTTAGCCTCCAAAGTGTCACTCTGTCCGCTGCCAAAAGCGCGACTCTTCCCACTGACGTCGAGGCGCCGAAATGCCTCCACAACCAGCAACGCGACTGTGCTACTTTGTCTTTTCGGCCGATTTGGGGGGGGGGGGCAAAGTAGCTCGATGTTAGGTCTGAAACGTCTGCTCGGGAGTCGGTGATTTTGGCGGGAGGCGGACTGCTGTGGTGGGCCGAAATTTTTGAGAAGAACAGCCAAACCCTTGGCCATCCTTGCTACCGACTATCTCCTCATCCGCACAAGCTTCCTTCAACATGTCGCGTCCAGAGCACCTGGCACCGCCAGAGATCTTCTACAATGACACCGAGGCACAAAAGTACACCGCCAAGTGAGTGATCGCCCAGAACACACGACCATCTTGCCTGCAGATGCTGATCTTTGCCTTTTTGGTTTCGCACCGCAGCACGCGAGTGCAGACGATTCAGGCCGAGATGACGGAGCGAGCGATCGAACTGCTCATGCTTCCTGAACACCGCAAGCCAGCTTTACTACTCGACATCGGCTGTGGCTCGGGTCTCTCGGGCGAGATCATCACCGAGCACGGACACGAATGGATTGGCTTCGACATTTCGCCCTCGATGCTGGAAGTTGCACTGGAAAAGGAGACCGAGGGTGACCTTCTGCTCGCCGATGCTGGTCAAGGTTGTGGATTCCGTGCAGGCTCGTTCGATGGAGCCATTTCGATCTCGGTGCTGCAGTGGCTGTGCAACGCCGACGCCACGTCGCACAACCCTGCCCAGCGACTCTCGTCGTTCTTCACGACGCTCTACTCGTCGCTCTCGCGCGGATCGCGCGCCGTCTTTCAGTTCTACCCGGAATCCGACGACCAGGTCAAGTTCATCATGCAGTTCGCCACGCGCGCCGGATTCGGCGGCGGTCTTGTCGTGGACTACCCCAACTCGAAAAAGGCCAAGAAGTTCTATCTGGTGCTGTGGGTCGGTGGCGAAATGATGGTCGGGCCCAACGGTCAGGCGACCAAACAAACACTGCCAGAAGGAAAGACCCATGACCACGAAGAGGCAGCCGCCAGCAACGGCGTCAAGTACGAAAAACGAAGACTCGATCGAGACCGAAGAGGCAGCAAGAAGAAACGCTCCTCCGAAACGGCAAAGGAATACATTGTGCGCAAGAAACAACTCAACCGAAAGCGCGGAAAGGAAGACGTCCCCCTCGACAGCAAGTACACCGGCCGCCGCAGAAAGGGAGGCTTCTAATCGCTCACTTCCACCGCAATACTCACAGGCTTCACTGCCCCCTTATACCCTGCTCTTGTTCCTACGCACTGCGTGTTTTTCCTCGAGACTGATATGATTGCACAACAAAAAACCCAACACTGAGATCCGAGATTAGCGCGCGACTAGATGTCGTCGTCCATGCCTGCGGGGATCTCGACCTTCTGACCGGGTTCGAAAGCGGGCAGACCGAGGTAAGGGCAGCTGGAGCATCGGAAGGCATCGCCGAGGAAGCAGCTTCCGCACGACGACGTTGCGCCCTTGGTGTCGACCTGGATGCGCTTGATCGTCTTGGGCTTGCCGTCCTTGCCGATGATGGTCTCTGTCACCTCGGTTCGCTTCCCGCCCTCGGCGGGCGCTGCGTTGGGCATGTCCATGTCCTCCGTGTCGAGCTGCACCACGTTGGCGTTGCGCTCCTCCTCCTCCTGCAGCTCGCGCAGGCCGCACGTGCATCCCTTGCACGCCTTCTTCTTCTTGCCCTGCCCGGGTCCCACGTCGCAGTCCGGACGCTTGACCGCCGTGGTGGCGACAAAGTCGCCGTCGCGCAGCAGCGTCGACTGGTCGATCAGCTCGTTAGCCGACGCCGGCTGCGTGGCCCACAGCGACTTTTTAGCTGCGGCCGACGATGCGCCCAGCTTCTTGCGCAGCGGGAGTGCGGAAGACGATGCGCCCGACGACGATCCGATCGAAAAGGATGCGGCAGCACCAGAAGGCTTGGTGGCCGAAACCACGCCGGTGGCACTGTCGGTGTGGATGTCGGTGAAGCCGGCGATGGTGAGCTCGGCGTTGACCTTCTGCGCGGTCGTTGCGTCGGTGAGCTCACCCGCCTCAACCACGATCTTGGCCGAGGGCTGCAGTGCCGCGTGGAGGCTGGAGAGGAGCAAGGGCGAGGCTGCATCCGCATACGATACGACGAGGTGGGCGATGGGGTAGGTGCTGGGAGCGAGCGCCGTCGCGCCATCTGTGAGACGATCCACCATGTGCATCTCGACCTGACGACCCGAGTAGGCTTCGATGACCTTCTGGTATGATCCGCTCTGCGCCGACGCCATGGAACCAATCACGAGTACAGTGCCGGTAGGGTCGACGGCGGTGGACGACACGACGCCGTTGGAGGCGTGTGAGAATGCGGCATCGGTAGCGACGGGCGGCGACATGATCGGGCGATGCGGCACCTAGTGTATGTGCTATATATCGGTGAAGGAAGCTGAGGAGTAGTCGGCGTGAACGTGCAGCGGATGTGTGGGGTGATCTGGAGGGTGGAGCGCGGCGGTTGTCTGAACCGAGTGGAATGAGGTGAAGCCGAAGTGCGTTCCAGAGCTGACGGTCAAAGTAACTTGGCAGGATGTTTGTGGTGGGTAGGTTGCAAGTGATTGACTGGGTTGGAGGTGTGAATTTGATTCGACCGTGGCGGTGGGGGTTCGCTTTCGCTGCCTCAGCAGCAGAGCGCTGCTTCGGTCCGGCAGCGCGGGGTTTAGAGAGAGAGAGAGGAACCTTTTTTTCTCTCGCGGCGAGATACCGCGCTGCAGTGGCAAATCACACGCCTCGAATTACGCTGTTGAAAAAGACAAAATGCTCATCACCGCCACCTACCGAACCGAGTCGGTTGCACCGCAGGCCTTTGACGTCAAAGCTAATCTCCGGTCGAACCACTTCCGCTGCTCTGCGTTGCTCTGCTATCGCAATATGCAATACACCTGCACTGATTCGCTGATCCCATCGCGAGCCGGCGAGTACTCAGCCAACTTGAGCCAATGCTGACCGTAGCCACAAGGGTTTGGCAGGTGACTCGTCACAAATTGCCATGCTCTGGCAGTGCAACGTTGGACAATGCAGAGCTACGCCTTATCTGATACAAAAAATCTCACTCGCGCCAAGCACTCACACCACCTCGGTCAATATCTCGGCCGAGTAATTCAGAGCTGTGACCCACTCGATAGAGCTCGGTCCCATGATGCCTCGGAGTGACAAGCGCAACTCAAGCTTCAACTTGCATCTGCGGCCATAGAACCTTGAAA